GCGGGAAAGAAGCCTTTATGGCTTAAAACACAGCGTCGCCAATGCATGATTGCCACAGTTTTTGGCAACGACTACAGTAGTATAATACTGTGGGTCATTTGCGTCTTTGTCTAATCTCTAGCGCGTGTTGGAATCAATACTCACCTTTGCTTCTGCGAATATAGAAGCTCTCCGCCCCAGTTCGCATCTTCATAGAAAATTCCATCATGTTCGTTTTAAACTGGCCTTAGAAATTAACCTTGGGTTGTCCAACTTTATGCTTTCCCTCAGTTTCCCATACTGTATATGGGAATTCTGGAGTTGTCAATGCGTGCAAGTGGCCTAGCACCGTGAGACAACGATACCACAGGATGATAATTAGTGAATGAATGTCAGAACATTTGAGATCTTTTGTATCCGGGTCCCTTACTTGCCATTCAATTTAAAATATTTCCCAGGGGAAACAGAGATTAATATGTACCAATAATAAAAATGGCAACATGAACTTTCAAGAAAAGTCACAAATAGCGATATTTTAAAATGATGAAACTTGAATAATACAAAAACAAAATCTCTTTAATAATGGCTTATAAAATCAGAAACAGCTAAATCGGAGTATTTGTATTTAACCCTGTGTTAATTACCTAGGATTTCCGAAAATGGATAGTCCTCTGGCCTCTACCTTCAATGACAACTGAGCTGCAATTTCGCCATCCGCATGCTACACGCCACCATCACTGTGTCAGGACAGAAACAGGAACGAGGAAATGAAACAAACTGACAACTACGAATTACAACTACTTTGAAAATTTGCGGGTAACAAAATACTGCATGTGACTAACGCAGGTTAAGCAAGTGCTGGAAGCCAGGGAGATATTTCGAATCGTAGAAAAAAATAACAATATGTTTAACAACAGTTATTTGTTTGTCTTTAAACAAACTTTAAGAAGGAAAAATGGTGTACAAATACACTCAACTACTTTCAAACATATATATATATATATATATATATATATATATATATATATATTTATTAAAGACATTTTTTATGTTTAACGTTGTTTTTTTTTAGATTCTGTTTATGATAAACAGTATTACATTTTACCAGCCTTGAAAATTTTTCATAGAAAATATTCGTCCTTTGACAGGATTCGAACCTGCATTCTATACGAATACAAAGGACGAATATTTTCTATGAAAATTTCTCTCGGAGGTCGGTAAATGTTATTTAATACTGTTTATCATAAACAGAGCATTTACTTAAATACTTGTATCTATAAAAAAAAAAAAAAAAACAACGTTAAACATAAAAAATGTCTTTAATAAATAAATTGTCGGACTTTATTTCTATATATATATATATATATATATATATATATATATATATATATATATATATATATATTTCCAGCTCATCGGTCACAAAGTATATCTTATGTTTCTATAAAAATATACAGATGTCACTTGGGAAGAACGCTGTTTCATAGACGAAAAATATAATAAAATAAAATAGGACATATGATGCAGGAAATGAATTGTAGATAATGTTCATTTAAAAAAAAAAGAAATAAATAATAGAATTTAAAATTTAAAATTAATACTGGAAACGCTGGTCTATTTATGATACGGTAAGGCTCGCTGTATTAAAGAGAGATAAGTGTGTATGGAACCAAAAGCTTAATAAAATAAAAAAATATATATATAAAAGATTAATTTAATCCGGCTTCCAGTATTTTAAAAGAAACGATTTTCTGTACCTACAGGCTACCATTAGCTCGTTCCGTTTAATACGTAGACCTACATCGCCAATATTTTTGAGAATGATTTTTTTTCCTAATAGACATAGAGTGCATCCCCACACTGCCTGTCGGAAAAATGGCTTGGTTTGGGCTATGAATTCTCAATTTACGTGAGTTGTGTAGGCATCTGTTTTGATGTTCCCCTAATACTTAGAGAGTGCTATGGCGTTTACATATTTTTTGTTACTAAGTGTCCTACAATCATGATAGAAACGCTTTTTTCAACTACTAGCGTTAAATTCAAAATGAAATTTGATTGTGCTTGGCGCTATTCTTATAGATAACCCCTTTACCGTTCATAGGACAGATGGCACCTTTGCAACAGTTACACTTTTGATCATCATTGCTACTAGTCCTGCTTAAGCATTTGTTACGGGTTACACTATTATGTTGGGTGAAACATTGATCAAGGTTTTAACTCAGCTGTAGCTATCCTTAACGCTGTTCTTGTTGGAGATTTTTCTGAGTAAATGTTTATGACTGAAATGTTTGTGTATTTACCTAAAAAATTCTAACGATATTGGTCCTGACTTTACTGTTGAAGGGCGAATTGAACCAAATAATGATGTACTTATTCTTACTATTCTTAGCTCTACTATTCGTATTGGCACTAGTGTTAAGGATGTACATTAGTTCAACATTATGCTTACTTTTATTTAATGCAACAACGTATTTTGTTTTGTATTTGTCAAAGATGTGGTTTACTAGGGAGTGTCTATGCTGCACAGATTTGTGGAGGTTATTAAGAATAAACGGCGGGTGGTTAGATTCTTTACTAATAAATGTATGATATAGAGTTTCTTATTATAATGTATGTACACTCCTCTGGATAGACCACACGTTGTGTCCGGGAAAATGACTACCTTGGCATTGGCGATGTTATGTCCGTGATACTTTCATTAGCTGTTTCCTAAACCTATCAGTTTTTTTGTAGCTTGGAGTTAGGTAGAATGATCACTCCATCGTCCCGTGTGTTCTCACTATCGAAAATATATCTGAGCTTCCATAGTATGCATACTAGGTCACAAGCTTCTGCGGAATCGAACGCGCCCATCGCTATAGAGAAGTTGGGGTTGTTTTTTTTTTTTTTTTTGTTTTTGGTATAGGAAGGATTTCGGGACTTGTCTTAGTATGAGAAAAAAAGATAAGGATTTCTTTTTTTTTTAATTATATAAATCACATACAAATAAGTGTTTGTTTTCTTAAACAGACGAAGAGAAACTGTAAAAACCGAATTTAATTTCGAAAATATTTTTTTTGCATTTAATCAATAACCAAATAACCACTACACCCTTTAGGTGATTTCAATATGTCGGTTGTTTAATTTTCTGAAGACGATTTTTAATAAACATTCAGCTTTTTAAAGCATTCCTTCTTCATTACTCGATATTAATCGAATATTGATTACATAATTTAAAGAAAAATCGAGTACATCTCCATTAAATATAATCTCAGATAGAAATAAACGCGTGTCATGTTCGAGAGGGAATCTTTAATTGAATTTACAAAGAAGTATAATAAGTTGAAAACCAAATATTTGATGCGTAAAATGAATGATTTATTTTTTTTATAATTAAGCTACAGACTTCTAAATTACCGATGCATATCTGCACGTGTGCACATAAATTGTTGCAGATGTGCGCAAATTTTCCTAGGTATTTACTTTCGAAAAAGACAAATAATACAAAATTATTTATGGGAAAGAATTTGCTGAAAATAATTATCCTCTATTTGCTTCGCTCTCTCTCTCTCTCTCTCTCTCTATCTATCTATCTATCTATCTATCTATCTATCTATCACTACACAGACACGCAAAGACAGACGCGCGTGCGCGCACACACACACACACACACACATATGACAAGACATTGCATGTTGACGCTTAAAGCGCAGATACAACTAAATCCACAATAGAAAGACAGTGGTTGCTTATACTGTACAGTATTATTAAGCCACATAAAACCTTTGAATAGGGCATTAGACAATATTATATATATATATATATATATATATATATATATATATATATATATATATATATATATGTCACATCTTGAAGATAACATTTTGGCATTATTGAAATACCTACCATATACCTTCGTTATGTTGACGATATCCTTATACTTGCTAAAAATTTCGATGAATTAACCTTTCTGCAACAATCCTTCAAAAATAATCCTTCGTGAAATAACTAAAGATAATAAGTTTCCTTTTTTGGATGTTTTAATTGATACTAGTAATGGCACTTTTACCACTTCTGTATACAAAAAACCTACAAGCGATAACAATTGCACTCTCAACTATCTTAGTGAATGTCCCATTAAATATAAACGGTCAACTATTTCTAGTTACTAGAGCAAAACTTATCTTTTATACTAATAAAATATTTTATAAGCAATTGACTAACATCAAGCAACCCTTATCAATAACGGTTTTCCTAATAATCTAGTTGATAATGAATTTGATAGATACTTTTCAGACCTAACAAGAGATACATCAGAAAATTATCCTCAATTAACCTCATTTACAGACACAGACAATACGGTATAGATGAAAAGGCCCTTAAGTCTATAATACGCCATAATGTGTTTCCTGTTGATTCTAACAAAGCCTTAAAACTTAATATATATTATAGTAAATTTAAAACCTCTAACCTGGTAATGAGCAATAACCCTTCTCCAGTTGCTACAGTGGTTCATAGGACTAATGTTGTGTATGAGTTTAAATGTCCTTTGGAAGAATGCTCTTCTAATCCACATACGTACATTGGATTTACAACTACCCGTCTCTCCAGACGATAAACTATGCATTTAAATAATTTTAGTGCCATTAAACAACATCTTATGTCACATACTGTTTCCCTTCTGCGTTCTGACATTCGTAAATTCTTTATAGACAATACTAAAATTATTGATCAACATACAGACATTAGACGGCTTAAAATTTTAGAGGCACTACATATTAGAAGCAATAGACCTCTTATTAATTCCGCTGCATGGCAATTGGCTAAAGTTTTAAAAAAAATTGAGCCTGATGATGAACGATGACGTTCGAAAGTACTCGGTTGTCTTTTGGAAAATATATATATATCAATATAATTTTGAAATAAAAGTTTCATTCGGAAATATGAGAAAACACAAAAGAAAATGAGCAGGACGATGTTGTCTTTGACGTTTAATACAATGTGTTTAAAAGAGGGGATGCTGCCTAAATACACAGACACAGACAGACAGGCACACACACACACACACACACACACACACATATATATATATATATATATATATATACGGGTCAGTGGTGCATGGCAGGTAGTCTGTTCTAACGGTTATTGTTGTGGGAGTGGTTTGTTATTTTTTTTATTTAATAAGATTAATTTATTTTACTTGTTTTTGCTTATTTCTTTTTATTTTATTTTTATTTATTCTTGTCAGTTTTCTATTTTTAATTTACATAGTAAAAAGTTGTTTTCGCGTCTACATTTTCAGATGAGTTCTGATCATTTTTTAGTAGTTTGTTTTGGTCTGGGAAGTTAATTATAGCATTTTTTGTCTTTAATTTTCCAGATATACTTGGAAAGCATTGTGCTGTTCGCGTATTTACTATTTGTGAAAGATGTTTTGTGCGTAGTTTCTTTGTTTCCGAATCCTTCAGTTACTCCTATGTATATTTTTCTTAGTTATCTGATCATCTTACATTGTTTTATAAGAAATTACCATTTAAGGGACATTCGTTGTTTATCCTGCGGTTAAATCTGGATTTAATTTTTCCGATTTTTTTTTTTTATAGATATCCTTTTGGGCTTTTTTGTTATTTGTTTTATGTTTCCAAGAACACAGTAATTATCTTCTTTTTCATTCATATTTATGATTTCAGAATAATCTACGTCTCCTTATTTCCAGCTACCCAAGGATACAAATTTTTGAATTCATCTAAAACGCCAAAATGTAGTTTCTCTTTTGTCTTCAGTATGATAATATTTTTGACTCGTTTGTTATTTTTTCTCACTATCCAATATTGTTTACTGAGGAATTCTGAAAAAGGTGAACAAAATGAGGAGTTAAAAAAAAGAAAATAACCAGTAGTAAATCACAGAACCATTGCATATCAGATTACATCTCGGATTATCAAATAAGATATAAAACTCGTAAAACGTGTATATAATTTGCACATAGAATTAAGACATACACATTGATATTATTATTCCTACTTACATTCCGTGTTAGAGGATTGTGCCCTTCTTAGTCTATGCGGAGTAAAGATCTATAGACTCAACACGAAATTATTGCTGATTATTCCGTAAACATCTAAACATTTTACGGGAGTTGTCAGTCGCATACATAACCGATTTTGAAGAATCCTTTTATTAGTTGTGTTGCCAAACACGGCTAAAAAAAACTCAGTCTATCCTAATATTTACCCTACAGCTGTGGTTTGCTTCGAATATACGCTCTTTTAGCGCTAGAGGGCGTCGTCAGTGATGTTCTGGAGATGGATCATTGGGCAGTTTCGGGTCTTTCAAACCTCATACTGACCTCACCAAATCGACCCCCCTCAGAGCTGTTCAGACTCTGAAACACCCTCTAAAAAATGTTTGTAGACACTGACTTCTATAAATATACCTCGTTATCACACATTTGATTGGAGATTGACCAACAGCCAATCGCAACGGCGCGAAATCTATTTAAACCGTTTACGGGTGATTTTTTTTTCTTTTTTCAATTTTTCAGTGGACACGCATTCATTGGATACTTAGAAGGTAATTATGTTTTCCGTTTTTACCCACTTCCTATCAAGTTTCATTTCACCAGCTAATAATTACTATTTACAGAGATAAAAAAAAAAATACGGCCATTAAAATTAACAAATAAATTACAACGAATTAAGCCGAGCGTACTTATAAATATAATGAAACGTTTAAAACTGTTTACGAATAAAAAAAATAAAATAAAATAAATAAATTTCAGCGAGTTAAAACCGAGAGATCTTATAAATTACATAATAGAACATTTCAAACATGTTGACGAATAAAAAAAAAATAAAATAAAATAACTAAACAATTAATAATCTACAGCGAGTTAAACCGGGAGGGCTTTAAAATATCATAATAAAACGTTTAAAACATATTAACGAATAAAAAAAAACTAATAATCTCGTTTATGCGATTAAAATGAATAAATAAATACAACGAATTAAACCGAGAATGCTAATAAATATCTTATGTATTATTTACAATGGCTGACAAATGAACCGTGTAAAAAAAAAAAAAAAATAAAAATAAAATAAAAACGTCTGTTTTCTATTATACGTATTTACAAACCGATTACGGCATTTCTAGTTAGTTAAAAGTTGTGGCATATCTTTACACTATTTACATTTATACAATGATATATAAGAGAAAAAAAATTACACTTTTACATTAATTTAGGTTTTCCCCAGTTTGCTCGACCAAACACTTGCACGTTTTAGCCATAGCCATTTAGCCGTTCTTTCTGCTGTCTCGGTAATGGTTTGGATAGCTTTTCGTTTTTTTATTCCCACTATCCCAATATCTATTAAGGCGCTGACTAGAGATTTTACCACAAAACCCCTTGTGCCTACTTCGATTGGTTTGCAGCTTGCCTTCCATCCATTATCCCTACAACTTTCCAATAATTCATCGTATTTTAGTTTTTTTCCTTTCACTGGCCTCTTCTGCGTTATCCTCATAACAGACTGTTAGTTTCCACATGATGACTTTCTTCAGTTTATTTGAAAAAAAAGACTAGGTCTGGATGCAATCGGGTCTTGAAAATGTGATCGGGGAAATTTAGCCATCTACTTAAGTCCAATCTGAGTATACATTACCTAAGAATATTTGCGCAAAAGTCAACACAACGATATCAGCCTGGATTTGAAACCTGTATGCCGATTTCACTTTCTGTGTTAATAATCACTTAGCTCCTCCCATATTCGTTGGACCTGTGTTAATTCGATGCCTTCGTTATTAGTTATCTACGCAGTGGTTCAGTCTAAATATCGACTATTCCCTGTTTCTGCCGATTCCACTTGCCTTCCATATGTTTTGTAAGTTTCAAATTTACCAATCAATTTTTCCTCATTATGTGTTGTGGAAATTTCAACGGTCTCTTACTGATGTTAAGTGTATGTGTCATTTTTGTTTCATTTTTTTAAAACTTTGTTGGTGCCCACATGTTCAATCCCTGGAACTTCCAGAATTCTTGTATAGAACCACATCTTTCGTGCTTCAAGTTTCTTCTTCATCTGTGAAGAGATTACCCAGCATTCACTATCATATAGAAGTACTGATATTACATAACGTTTCAGTATTTTCTGTTTTTAATGTTTTTCAATGTTTATTATATTTTGCTTAGCTTTTGGAAAGCTTATTTCACAATCTCAATGCAACTTCGGATCTCGGTGTCGAACTGTCCGTCCTCTGTGAAAACGCTTCCCAGATACTTGAATTTTTGTACTTGCTCTATTTTGGTATCTCTAATTTGAAATTGTTGGTATCTCTAATTTGAAATTGTTGGTATCTCTAATTTGAAATTGTTGGTATCTCTAATTTGAAATTCGCACATTAGGTTATTGCTTTCGCTGAGAATATATTCTGTTTCCTTGCAATTGATGTTTAGACCGTTCTTCTCGTTTTCCTTCATTGACTTCTGCAGAAGTTCCTGTAGTTTTCTTTCAGTGTTTGCTATCACCATTGTGTCTTCTGCATATGTGTGACTGCCATTAATGAATTCTCGTAGGGCATCTATTTCTCACAGAATCACATCACTGTGTAGGTTGAATAAGTCCGAGAAAAAAACACATACTTGTCTTAAATCCATTTCTATTGTATATTTTATATTTGCTGAATTCATTTATATGCGTTTATATCTGGATTCTTCTAATCTGATTCACAAGTCTCGTGTTTTTTTTATCTTTAAGTAAATGAATGTTGTAATGACAGTTTACGCGTTAATTTATGGCTGAAATGGTTTTTTATTAAAATTTCAGTAAATTACATTCAGTTATTAATAAAGGTAAACAAGTTAGAATTTCACAAACGACAGGTAGCATTGGATATTGAATTGTAAATAATGGGATGTAGAACAACGTTGTCGCTAAAGAATAAAAATTTATCATTGTTTATTCGATGCTAACGCCACTTACTGGAGAAAAATGGGAAAACAATCCTAGGTTCGGAAGATATTTACAATAATTTCAGATAACGGATTGAAAGCTTTTGTTTATTATATTTTTGTTGGTGAATAAAAACACAAATATATTTTCTCACTTGGGCCTAAATTAATAGATATTCTGATATTGGTGTAATGTTTTCTTGACTATATTTTATTAGTTCTTTTCTTCACTTTCCTTCTCTACTCATTCGTACTAATTACAAATGCCTCCTGGAAATAGTCATATCGGTGGCAATGTTCATCTCATAAGAAAATAGTTTGTTTTTTGTTTTTTTTTTCAAAGAAGTGTTTATCCGGGCATTTTATATAAGTGTAATTAAGAGGTAACAATTACTTGTGCCGCAAAATCTTATGTGAAAAAAGATAAGCGTTCCGTACGAAATAAAACAAAAAAAACAAAACAAAACAAGACAAGGGGGGATAATATAATCGTCCTACCGAATTTAATTTGGTAATCAAAGCAAAGTAATCTTTTCAAAGAGAGTCGCAAACTGATTTACAGTATAAGCTTCCCGATTTATTTCGACTTTGCTATGGTGGTTTTCTAAGCTTATCCAGTGTATGACGATAAACTGCACCCGGCAGCAAAGCCTCGATGGGCTTTGAGGAGCGTGGAACCACCACTTAATTGCTATTGTTACAAGGTCTACACTGACACGAGATGGCAGCACCTCTTAGGTTTCCAGCTATAGGTAAATAGTGAACCCCCAAATTGGGGTGAAAACACAATAAATGGATAAAAGTATATTTTTATAGTAAAAATTCCAGTAGGAGATTTTGATAGTAAAATATAATTCAAGCAATAGATTTTATTAGTAATTTCTTTTCCACCAATAGATTTTAATTGTAAAGAAACAATTTCCAGCAATAAATTTTATCTGTAAAACCAATTTCCAGAAATACATTTTAATACTAAAAACAATTTCCAGTCATAGATTTTAATAGTAAAACAATTTCCAGAAATACATTTTAATAGTAAAAACAATTAGCACCAAATGATTTTAATAGTAAAAACAAATTACCAGCAATAGATTTTAATAGTAAAAAAAAATCCACTAATAGATTTTAATATTAAAAACAAACTTCCACCAATAGATATTAATAGTAAAATACAATTTTCACCAATAGATATTAACAGTAAAAAACAATTTCCACTAGTGGATATTAAAAGCAAAATTACTGCAATAGATTTTAATAGTAAAAATATCCGACCAACAGATTTTAATAGTAAAAGGCAATTTCCAGCAATAGATTCAAATAGTAAAAACAAAATTATCCAAGCTGCCAAGAAAATTTCCGCATTCAATGACCCAATCTCCTTCCCTTCCATTGGTGAGATGTAAGTTCTACTCGAGCATTTTCTTCCCATGAATCGCTGATTTGTGGAATCGATTTCCAATACTAAGCTTCCCAAATCACTATAATCTTAAGTTGCTCAACTCTAGCCATGACTGTTATTTCCCCTACAGGTTCCCATAAACTCTGTATCTTAATCCTTAACCCTCTATGGCGCTTTGCACTTTCGGCTTGTAAAAAAAATGAACATTGTAAATTAATAAAAATAAAATAGGTGAAATCGGTTAGCCATTGGCTACACAAAGATTTTAATTATAGGGGACAAAGCTGAGCTTAAGAAATAGATCAATGCAAAATATTTTTTTATAAACTGATTATTTTTTTTTCATTTGTGCGTTTGTGTTGTTGTATTGAGAATGCTTCAGTCACTTCCAGTGAAAATATTTTTTGAATAATGATTAGTTAAAAGGACTTTCTTTAAAACGATATTTTTTTTCTTTTTCTTTTTCATTATACTTGTATTGGTATAGATTATCAAATCAGAGAGCATCTTGTCGTACTAGAATAAAGAGAATGCTTCAACTTGTTTGGATTTTGAAATCGAAATAACACGTTCAGTTTAAATGAAAAGTGAATAATAAAATGTTTTCCAGTGCACTATTTTCTAAATAGAATGCTGATTAAATTCTCCGATCGATTGTCAATCAATGTTTTAACTCATTCAGATTAACATTCGTGTTTCTTTTTTCCGTTTTATATATTTAATTATTTATCTTTTGCAGAATTCTAAATGGAATATTCATTTTTGCGTATATCTAGCACGGAAATCTATGTACATACATCAATAAGTCTATAGAATGAAGATGAGAAACGTTTATTTTTTGTTTCGATATAATCTCTGTCTTTTCCTAATTCACTGGTGAATTTGAATCAAATTTCAAGTCAAATTTACCCAACATTACGCGAATTTCAGAATACTACATTATTGATATCATTTTATGAAAATATTCGATGTAGGTGCTGAAAAGTAATTTGTTATAATTCAAAAGCAATTGCGAAAAATAAAACTGCTAAATATCGGTCAAATTTTGGGAAGTGGGTTAGTCATTAGCCTCCTCTTCGTTTGCAATTCAGTTCCTTTGAAGAAAATTGAAAATCGATGACCAAACAGTAACCTTTGTAATTTCTTTCTCCGCGCCGTAAGTTTCCGCTCGATTTCACCATAGAAAGAAGTTTTTAGCGATCGATGAATTAGAAAAATACAGGGAATGTTAAATTATTACTTCAATCAACTTACAAATAATTATGTTGAAAATAAACATAAAGATTATTTTTTTGAAAATATAAAAATGTTAATGACTAATTACCTCATATTAATCTTTGAATTGATCAAAACATAAAAGGCCAAACAGGCGACAATTCTGATTGAACAAAATTAATCACGTTGTGTGTCGAATTCAAAATTATTTTTCTTGTTAGTGGTGTTGGTCCCTGTTCCGCTGGTGTTAATTCTTGTTAGAAATTTGAATTGTTTGTGAGTACTGAAAATCTCACGGTATTAACGAAGTTTCTCTCGAAAGAGACTTGTCTCGAGTTATACATTGTGTTTCCTGAATAAAACCTTCTGTACTTAACTCTTTAGTTACACTCGAGAAAAAGATAGTGGAACACAGAAAAATCGCGGCCGAAGCTATTTTTTAAAAAGTGTAATCTAATATGAAAATAAATAAATACAATTTTGAATGTCTGTTTCATAGGCTGAAAATTAATTAAATATATAAAGTTGGTTGTCTGTTTATGTGTTGGAAATTGTTACGTTAAATTGTGATATCAAATAAATCCGGAATTTGGCACATTTCCAAGTATAACGTGAACGTCACACGCGTAACGATGTAAATTATTCAACTTCCACTCCTCTTTCATTTTCTAAATATTCTCTTACAGGAAGCAAAATTACGCCTTTGATATTGCTTCTACAATGAGAAAAATAATCTGTGAATTAATATTTCCTGTTTTAATTAAATCAAACTTAATTTTTAGAACATATAAATGCTAACCACTTCATAGCATTTCTACGTTGGTTTTTGGTTTATTTTTCATATTTGGTTTTCTTTTTCTGAATTATATATCTTTTGAGTACAGCGGGCGATTGAAGCAAGATTTTGTTATTCTCCAGTGCGTAACTTACATCTGCTCAAATAGGAACATTTTGGGTAGGTAATATAAACTATGC